TGTGGTGGTTGGTTTGATAGTATATTTCCAGCCATATAAACAAGTTTCAGTGTTAATTCTCAACTGTGCTCAAAGCTTGGATGCTATATAACCAACTTAAAAAAATGTGGTAAGGAATATTTAAAATGGCTATTGTACTTTTACACTACACTGTTAATATTGATTGTAAATTTGATGCTATTTAGAGACACCAAGTAGGCAAGGCTATAAGCATACCAGTAGAGATCACCAAGACTGGGATAACTAGAGTAGAAAGACCCACCACAAATACTGGTGACCTAATACCAGGGGCTAGAGTCCTGGACTGAATTAAAAAGAGAAGAGAAGCTGAGCACAAGTATCCATCTCCTTTTTTTTCTTGAATACTGGTTTGATAAGAACATTTGCCTCTGCATTAACATCCATGATGAACTACATCCTCAAAATTGTGAGTGAAAATGAACGCTTCTTTCCTTAAGTTGTGTTTATCATATATTTTGTCATATAAAAAGTAACTGGCATTCCTGTATTAGTTTTTGCTACCAGTTTTACACTGCACGATGTCTTGAAAGTAGAAAACATAATCTCATTTTAAAGGTACAATAGAATTTAGAATATTATTTTTCATATAGAAGAGAAAACTAATCAAATTCAAATAGTTGATAATTTTTTACTAAAGGGAATGGGTAGAGATTATTTTAAGACTGAAGATCTGGACACCATATGAATATCTTGCTTCTTCCATGCATTTTCTACATTCGGAGGAATGCACCTTTTTTTCTTTTGGATTATTGTAAAATAGGAAAAAGCAAACTCAGAATTTATTTTTTTAAAAAATGAATAAAACATAACTAGAATGAGGTCTGACAGCCCAGCATGGTTGCATTTTTCTGTAATTTTAACATTTGACAGGTATAGCAAGGGGGGGGGGTCAGCCTGTAAGACACAAGAGAGTGTCTCAAAACAAAACAAAACAAAACAAAACAAAAACTGCCACAAACAACCCCCAAGACCTTGACTCCAAACAATTCCTTAAGGAAAATAATTTATTTCTCATTAATAAGATTATAGGGAAGAATGATAAATGGCATTTCTAAACAAATTTTCAATTTTAAAAAGCATCATTTAAAGTCTCATTGATTAATTTATGTTTGTTTTGTGTATATGTCTGTGTAAGAATATACGTACATGTATATGCAGGTGCATACATTTGAAGTGTATAGAGACCAGATGATGGGGTCAACTGTCTATTTGTTTGGAGGGATGATCTTTGTGTGGTTTAGGGACTTGGTTTTTTTTTTTTTTTTTGGGGGGGAAGGTTTTATTTTTTTTTTTTTTTGTTTTTTTTTTTTACTAGGATGGACAGATGCATTTTTCCAATTGTGTTCAAAATATAAATAGATGCTTTATGTTCTGGGTCAGGCCCATGACAAATGAATCTAGGTATCTGCTCAGCAACATTAATTGTATAGTTCCAGTTCTTCCTCTAACTGCTGACCTCTAGAAAGCTTGCCTAAAATCCTATTCAAATTTTCACTGTTTATCCACTCGTACCCTTAAATCAGTAACTAATATGTAATCTTCACAAGTTCTGAAACATTCTATATACAGTTCACCAAGCCAACCAGCAGGAAAGCAGAGCAAGC